GTATACAGTTTTCAATGGAATCAATCCACTATGAGATGAAGCCGCGTTCCCAAAGCTTATCATTTTCTTAATATATTAGCGAATTGAGCGGCTAGCATGCTATTTCACTGTTTTTATGATTCTTAAAAGTGTATTTCAAAATATTTCGAAAACGCTCTCATAGAATTTCTTTAAACTTTGCCATAATGGAGGCAATTATGGCAGGTACATACTCCCTTAAGCGATTTCTTCAAAAAACTCCTGGTACAGAGAAACACAAGGATAAATGAAAAACGTAATGGCATCATTACGTTGCCATGGCGACTCCGATTGCAATAAAACCCAGATCTTAACAAATTTTCATCTTTATGTAATACAATTGTGGTAACCTTTTTTCGATATCTTTACTCATGCCGACGTAGTTAATGCTCAAACTTGGGAGGTATCAACCCAAAAAAATCCAGTCGAGCCACCTTAAGCCGTTTATTATTTGTTTTAGGTGTAGAGGTAACGGCCCAAAAAGTAAGGTAATCCCTAGCCTGCGTGCAAGCGTTAAAAGGGGAAGGAGTCTCGGGCCCTAATTCCCTTCCCCTTCCCTTTCGAACGCCTGCCACGCAGGCTAGGCAATCCCCGGAATGCTGAGGAATAAAATTACCGCAATCAATGGAAGTGTAGACACACATTTTTCGGAATATCAACCCAAATTTGAATTCATCGAAATTCTTATTTATTCATTTACCACGCTTTCAAAATAATATTTGGCGCAGATAAATCAGTGTCGGGCTGTTGGCTAAAGCTGAGTTTGCGTTGATGACCACTCTTATTAGAAGATAACTAAACGGTAGAGCGAGACTTGAACAGAAGTGCCGGTTCAACTTCAAACCATGTTACTGAAAATTAAGGGCCTGTTTGCATGGAGGTGGGGGACCCCACGTAGGTGAGGTAACCCGCTTAGGTGGGGTAACCCGCCAGTCCATATATTCTCTCATTTTAATTTGATCACGTTTACATGATAGGTGGGGTGACCCGCCAAGGCGGGTAGCACGGTCTGCCAGACCGGGTAACCCTGTCAGCCGGGGTCCAATTTTGCCATGTAAAACACGTTGTTTGCCAGCATTTTTCTTGTTTACGAGCTTAGCGACCATTCAATAATCTTGAGAAAGTGCACCCCAGGATGGCAGGGTTGTAAGATTGCATGTAGAGGAGGGTTATTTTTTTACCCCACCTCACCTACCTGGGGTCCCCCACCTCCATGTAAATAGGCCCTAAGTGTCTCTGCATAATATTCCTCCTCGAAAATATTTTAACCTTTAGCTGATTATCGCTTAACCACATATTTATTGATCGTATTTACTCAAGTTTAACCCATTCGCCCCTGAACCGCCCGTAACCGCCTGTGCGGATCCACGTCCTTTCTACCCTTTGTGACGTCATCAGTTTTAACGGTCAAGGACAACTTTGTCCGCTAACTTGTGCAGAGTGAAGATATCTTTCAAACCATACCAGAATGAGCACAATTCAGTCAAGGACGCCGGAGAAAGAGGCAAAAAACCATGTAACATTGACCTGAAAATCTCCATGAAAATCTTGTTCCATTGCCCACCTACCTTTCCTTTCACCTAATCCTAAGATCCTAAAAGCTTTCTTAAAAACTATTCCCACCAAAATGAAGCCTACTAAATGCCCAGCAAGAGAAAAAAAAATAAGGCAAGAAAAGCGAAAAAAGAAGGGAGGAGAGAAAGCGAAAAGTAAAAGTCAAGACTGCTGTGTCACTGTTAAACCCCAAAATCTCGAAATTTTGCTTTCTGCGCATGCCCGAACTTCGCAAGCTGATATTTTGCATCTGGATCAGAAGGCCGCGAAGTCTACGACCTGTAAACTGGTTTGTGCTAAGTTTTAGCTCTTTATAGCACGACAATGACCAGAAAACCACTCGACTAGCTTCAAAACGCGTTTTTCGGCAAAATCTCCAGGAGCGAATGGGTTAAATTTTAGGGGTTTGGTAAAACGAATAAGGTAATCACAAAAAAATAAATCAATAAAATGAGAGCTACAAGATATACAAACATATTTACTCATATAATTATTAGCTGTCTCAAGGCGATAATCAAAGCCAACCGACTTTTTCAATTCTCAAACAATAGATTGAATAGGAACCATTTGTATAACACCGCTAAGTCCAAAAGCAATCAAGCGCACTCGTTCGGCAATCTTTTATTATCGCCTTGACATTTAGCCTGTTCACAGACCCTCTATTTTCTCTTCAAAGTCCGTCGAGCGCGCATGATAAAAAATAAGCCACGTGGGATTTATTGACCGCCAGCGCAAAGGGGTAGGGGTGGAGGAAGAAGAAATTTTATTTTTCTTTCTCTCGCTCGCGTGCTCGCCTCGCCCACGCGCACGCCGATGTTTTCCAAAAGAACGAAAAGAAAAATAAAAAAACGTCTGTGTACAGGCTACTTGACATTTAACTTACTATTTATCTCTTATTTCATCTTTGCTTCCTTAAAAGAAATTTTGCTTGCTGTATTTAATATTGAGGAAAAGACTGACAAGGGATAAAGTGAGTCGTCCCTAAGAAATAGTTCCTACGGTTGAAGAAAGTGTCTTACCTTTTGCTGCGCCATTAGCTTTGAATTACCGTAATACAAACAACCAGAAATGGTCAAAACTTCCTTGTCGGTTCTAATCACCTATCATACTTTAACCATATCTTTGGTGTTGGGAATAACCTATATATCCAGAGATACAAATTTATTCAGGTCGGTGAAGAATTGTATTTACTTCACGATACAACTATCCTTTGTCAGGATGTACGTGCCTCCAGTTGTATCTAACCAACTGGCACACTTTTTTTCAATTATAAGTTGCGCATAGTGCAGTCAAACTGGGTGGGGGGAGAATTTTGGATATAGACTATTGCATCGACCTTTTATTCTTTATTGGTGTTTGGGTTTCAAATAATTCTAAAAAAGGCAAGTTGTACGGTTTAACTCTTAATATTAACGTAAGTATAATTTTAAAGCTGACTTTGAGAGTAAAGTCATAATTAGTTTTGAGAAACACCTCTTCGAGATTATTTCGGTAACATAAAACAAATTCATCAGATAGAAATAATTATTTCCTTTAGTAGGTGCTTTCAGCTGTGGATGCAAGAATGAGCAATTTCTTTGACGAAGTTCGTTTGTTTTACGCTGAAATCATTTCTCACTTTTGCTTCCAAACCTGAATAATAATCAGTCTTGCCTACCTCATTAAATCTAGCTGAAGGCAACGCGTCCTATAACCTGCGAAGCGCAGACGTATTTCCGGTCGTCGCTTCTCTCCTTCCGAATTTTTTTGGGAGGGAGAGAAGCGACGACCGAAAATACGTCTGCGCTTCGCAGGCTACTCGTCCTATAACACCTTTTGAGTTCTTTGTTCTCTGTTGAACCGGTTTCAGCCAAATCTCACTCACTTTTCTAACCTCAAACTAGAACTTCTTTCGACATAATCTTAGGAAAATTTAGCTTCTTTTGTTCTCTGTAAAGGAATTTGGTTACTTCTAGTTTTGAAAATTTCTTCCACACATATAGCCGGAATCAACTCTGATCAACTCCTTTTGTTTTCTTAGCTCTGACACTTACTAGCACCTTTTCCTTTCATGTGAATGCTGTGTAAAACTGTAAAAAACCAATTAACGTAATTGTTCAATATAAATAGAACCTCTTGCAAGTAGCTTCTTTACCTTGAGATCTGAGGTAGCTAACTACGCGTCAGCAAGATTAAACCATTTTCAACTGCAAACTCTGGTTGTACGAACTCTTTTCTACATATCCTGAAGTCTGTAGAAGTCCCCCTCTACAGATTTCTGGTGGAGAACCCAGGCACTTAATTCCGGATAACAGCAACGCAAGCAAAGGAAATTGTGAGTACAGTGATTATGGTTATTTGGAAAGCCGACCTTTAGGTTTAATTCCCGTTAATTATTCCCGTCGAGTTCTGCGAGTAATTTACCACAGCCTTTAATAATCGAGGAGAATATTGATCTTGAAACTCAACCAAGTATGTCTCGAGCTTACGAAGACCTCTAAATTACTCACCACACAAACTGAACTTAACCAACAACAAATGATCTCTCTAGCTAAGCTAAGGCTTTTGAAAGACACACTCGTCGACCCCTAGTTTCAATGGAGCAAATACAATCAAATTTCAGACCTTTTCAGGGGGTAGAAAAGAAGATGTAAATGACTTAGTTGGGCAGGTTGACTTGACCGCTTGCATTTCTTTACTGTCCCTGCACAACTACGACGTAAAATTAAATGACCAAATTTTAAGTTTACTTGGGAACGGGAACGGCAAGGCGATGAATTCTACCATCTGTGTCTGAACTCGGGCGCGGTCCCTTCTCTTCAGCTCCAACCAAAATTCCCTTCTAAGTAACAGGGCGAATTGGGATAATAGCGAAAAAGTTTAAAAGGATGGGAAGTCTATTTTTCAGCGACGTTTTCATGGACGTCGCCGTTGTCATCCTCGGAGACCCAGGGGCAGATAGTAGGGACGAGGGAAAGTGTAAACGGGCGGAGAAATGTGGCACGAAGAAAAGTAAAGAACGGCGAGAAGAGCCCCTGGGGACAATGTCTTACCAGACCAGTTCCAAACGGTCGCCGCCGTTCTGGCTTCTGATTGGTGCCAGAAAAACACAAAGTTTTCTGGCACCAATCAGAAGCCAGAACGGCGGCGACCGTTTGGAACTGGTCTGGTAAGACATTGTCCCCAGGGGCTCTTCTCGCCGTTCTTTACTTTTCTTCGTTCCATATATATTTTTCCGCCGGTTTACACTTTCCCTCGCCCCCTTTATCTGCCCCTGGGTCTCCGAGGATGCGCCGTTGTCGGATCGTAAGGTGCCCATTGAGTGGCCTAGGGGCGAGGGCTGGAAACCACTGAGACGGAAGTAGAAATTCAGGATTGAGGAGTGAGGACTGGAATTTAGTGTACCAAGCCCTCTCGGCCAACAGCGCCATTAAGTCCGTTCGCAATAAGGCGGAAGTGCAGACGGTGGAGAAATATTCGACAAAAAGGTTCTTACACTTACTTTCAGTGAGCCTTTTGCTTTACAAGAGGTACGTACAACTTCTTTTATTAAAATAACGCAAGGTATAGTTTATTGTAAGGCAGAGGAGTCGACTAAATCAACCTAACTCTGCCATCGCTCTGCCGGATCAGCTCGACAAGACATTTCCAAATCCAAGTCCTGTCTAGATCTGTAGATTAAATATTGCTTTATCATTGAAATGTAGGGTTTACATCAATATTTACGCAACTTAACGGTACTTTTACGCTAGTATTTAGTAAATGGGATCATGATATTTCCTACATTTTCACGCGTTAATAACATTCTTTACGTAGTTAGATGGACCTAGACACGGGAAAGTTGATTTCTCAATTCAGTTATTTCAGAAACAACAAGAGATTTTGAATCGAAAAGCTTCAAGCCACATTAACCATATCAAAAACCACTGGCTTTTCATAATGTACCAGCCTTTTCACTATTTGTTATCGCTTTAGTAGAAGTATTACATTGTTTAGCAAAAATATGTGTGCACATTCCAGGCGCGGATCTCGAAGATAAATACTGACCGATTTCCTAAAAGAGCGCCGAAGGCGCAAGATTCTAGAAGGGTCCGGGGTGCGGGCTCCCTTAGGAAGTTTTTTTGGATTTTTGCTCCTGAAGTCCCCTTTCCTGGGTTTCCGAGTCATTCGGACTGGATATGGCCAGATTTCAACGTTGAAAGTGTTTTTATTATTAAAAATGTATTATTATGATTGAAATGTCACCGATTTCCGTAAATCGGTGGAAACCGGTGTGGATCCGCGCCTGCATTCTTTCAACGGACGTAACCGGCGTTGTATGCAGTTTGATCAGTAAATCTTAAGTATCACATGACAAACAAAACAGTGAAGCTCAGTCTTAAAGCATGTTAAAGAAAAAAGATCGCTTGTGTATTGTGTGAAGCGCTACCAATTATGCAATAGGTCAGACTGAAACTTACACTTGACATGAAGTGAGTCAACCTAAGTTCGACGTGTCGACGTCTGACCCAACAGACGATATCTTAACTTAATTTAGGTCGACCCAAATTGAAGCTTGGTTCATCTCATGAAAAGTTCGACTTTTGGCCTAGGAAAAGTGTTCGTAAAGTTTAATATACATTACATTCAGTGTATCAGCTATTGCTCCAGTAATTTCTTTTGTATGACTTATCTTCGAAAACATTAATTTTCGGCTCAGTTTGGTCCAAGTCATGTTATGGTATTTGACCATTAATTTTTCAAAACTCCGATTGGAGATGAATGCATGAACAAAATATTTCTCATTTTTTATCGTTTCGAAAGTTACTTCTGCATTCCGAAATGTGTAAAAATTTGGACTGTTTATGTTTTTTAGACAATGGCATCCAAGGGACCGGAGTGTTCAATCTGTTTTGAACGTTTCAATGACGAAAACAAATGTCCTCGGTTGCTAAGTTGTGGACACAGCTTCTGCTCTTGTTGCTTGGAGAGACTACTCCATGGTAACACCATTGATTGTCCTAAATGCAGAAATCCAGTTGCCGTTCCTTCTGGGGTCCATGGCCTGTTAAAGAATTTTGCATTACTGGACATTGTGAACGAAACGGCACCCAAACAACAGGCTGAAAATACAGGTCATGTCGGCTCTCACGAATGTGAAGCTTGTGATGAGAAACACCCTGCCAATTTCTGTTGCCTTGACTGCAAAGAAAATATGTGCAAAACTGCGGCTCAGTTTCATAAACGCAGCAAAACAAGTCGTGACCACCGCGTTGTTTCCCTCGAGGAGCTGGAAGCAAACCCTCAGCTGGCTTCTGTATCGGTTCTCTGTCCAGAACATAACGATCAATTCCGCTTTTTTGACCAAGATTGTGGTCGTGTTATTTGTAGAGACTGTTATGCCCTTAATCATAGCGGGCACAAGTGTGTAATTGTAGCTGAAGCTGCTTCAAAATACCGACAGGAGATGGAGACGATTGTAAGCAAAGCCAGCTGTCAAGCCGAAAAGATTTATGCTGCTGAAGGTGAAGTGATGGATGAACTTTTTTTAATGGAGGTAGCTTGCGAAGAACAGCGGGAAAAAATTCAAGGCTTTTTTAGAAAGGTATGGCATATCTTTGTTATTGGGGTACCACTTACGAGTTACTATCCGAATTTCCTATTGCTTTTTAACGGTTTCTGCTAACAATTATAAAGAAACAAAATAATCTCAACGTGGAATGCAGAAACCAGTGATTTGTTAATACCTATCCTGAACTAAGGCCAATGAACTAGATATTTAAGGGTAGGCCGCTCCCGGATCATGATTGTTGAATGTATTCACTGAACTCACCTCGTAGCTAGCCTAACACACGGGATGTAAGCCCTAAGAACGTCCGCGCTAAAGGCTTCTTCAAGCCTGCGTGCAAACGTCTCCAATTTCCTTTGGACACAGACTACGCACCTCGGAACACATCTATCAACCGTTTTTTATCTGTATTGTTTGTGTGGAATAGGTCCGCGGATATTACAGAGTGTGCGTTTTCTTTTGTATATTTATAGCTTCATTCCGCACTATCTAACCGAGAGCAAGTTTTGATGGATAAGTTGTCCAGTATACATCAACAAAAGAAATCCATCCTCACGGAGCAGCTCGACCGTTTGGAAGTAAACGAAGCATTTTTAAAGAGTGCAGCTCAACGAGCAGAGTCCTCCATCCAATCTCCGAGTGATGTTCAGTTCCTACTCAACAGGCCGGATATAGTCTCGACGCTCGAGACCGAAAAATGCTACTCAATGGTGCTTGAGCCAGAGGCACAGTTTATTCCAGAGTTCACCGAGAGCGAAGAGGAGGGAATGGTGAGAATTCAAATTTTGATTTTAGTTATCCATGAATTAGCCTGGGACCCAGACTAACGGTTTTCTTCGAACGCCATTCTCTTCTCCGGGATGAATATTCTAGCAGATATTCTTTACATAGCAGTTGTCATCTACCCTGGTCCCGGACGTTTTTCTGGAAAATTTTCTCTGCGTAAGAGAGAACGAGCTGTGCAAAGTGGCGATCTAGGACCAGGGTAGTTGTCATTTGTCGAGTATTATATGTTCATTTCGGTGTGAAATTTTCCACCATTATTCTCCAGCTCTATCAATAGAGCCTGAGCTGAGCTAACACAACCTCTTCCCCAGGGCGTCATAGTTGTCTACCTATTTCTGCAGTTATCCTGCACCATTATCGCCTTTTTTGGCGATATCCCAAACGTCATCCAAATTTGGTCAACGCTAACTAGAATTTGCCGAGGATTTAAGCCAATCAGAAACGAGGAAATATTAATCTCTTTTTACAATATGGTGGATGCAACGCCCGTTGCATCAGTGTCGCAGTCACTCCACAGTCCACACCGCCTGTATAGAGTCTATAGACTATGTGGAAAACTGGGACTCAGTATCACGTGTTTTCGTTTTGGGAAAATCCCACCCCTTACGAGCTTTTCCCTTACTCGAAGATTCTGAGTTTTTGTTGTTGTTGTCTCTGAGTGGTAGTTTTGAGAAGCTGCATTGCTAGTCGAGTAGTATATTTATGAAGTTATTAAGTTATCCCGTCTTATTAAGTTATTTAATACTTTAGGTTAGCCTCTCTTCGTAGTCGTTATGTACTTGCCTTGTTTTATGTTAGTTTATTCTATTTACTGTATAGTAGTGTCTTCACTGTTATTTAGTCCATCTGTAAATAAACCTTGTACTTGCAATATGTCTTCAGCTCCCCACGCCTCGATTAGTTTATAAGCTATTTGCGGGTGGGAAAGTAATGTAATTAGTTATATTTCCAATTTTCAATAAAATTTGTTGTTTTTGTTTAGTCTGAAGGTTTTGAATTATGATCTTGAAGATCACGTGAACAAAGTCTACGATTGTGTCCGTTTTATTCAGACTATACCAATTGTGTGGGCCAGCTTTGCGCACAGTCGTTGCCCATGATCGATTACAGAGTACAGACACACCAAAATTCATTTCTCAGTTCACAAATATAAGAACTCATCCATAGGTTACTTAAAATATGGTTGTCGCAAAGACAATTTTATTCTATAAAACTATTAAGAAAGGTAATATCGAGTGAAAGATGACTAAGCGTGCCAAGTAAATCGCTTTTTTAGTAAATGAGCTTTACGAAATTGACTTTCTAAAGAATGTAAAATGCAACGATCTCTTTCAGCCTGTCACGTACCGTTCCAACAAGAGTATAGAGGCGGTTATCCAGAGCGCAGGAGACATCAGTGACATATCAACCTGTGCAGCAAACACTACTGCAACTGGTCCGGGAATAAGAACTGCAAACCCTGGAAGGAAGGTGACATTCACTATTACTTCTCATGACGGCCGGAACTTTCAACGCAAGCTTGGTGGCGACGTTTTTGAGGTGAAACTGAAACCAGAGGTGGGAGGAGATGAAATAAAGGTAGAATTGAACGACCAAAAGAATGGAACTTACTTGGCAGAATATACTGTCGACAATCTGTGTTGCAAATTGACATTGTCGGTATTCTTGCGAGGTGCACACATCAAAAACAGTCCTTTTTCTGTTCTAGTTGAACCTCTAAATCCTACTGAGTTGTCTCTACCGTCTAGAAGGGAAGATGAGCGAGCCGATAGACATCTAGGTAGAAATCCGATCGAAACAAGGCAAGATGGATATCCAGCTAGAAATCCGATCGAAACAAGGCAAGATGGATATCCAGCTAGAAATCCGATCGAAACAAGGCAAGATGGATATCCAGCTAGAATTCCGATCGAAACAAGGCAAGATGGGTATCCAGCTAGAAATCCGATCGAAACAAGGCAAGATGGATATCCAGCTAGAATTCCGATCGAAACAAGGCAAGATGGATATCCAGCTAGAAATCCGATCGAAACAAGGCAAGATGGATATCCAGCTAGAAATCCGATCGAAACAAGGCAAGATGGATATCCAGCTAGAATTCCTATCGAAACAAGGCAAGATGGGTATCCAGCTAGAATTCCGATCGAAACAAGGCAAGATGGATATCCAGCTAGAAATCCGATCGAAACAAGGCAAGATGGGTATCCAACTAGAATTCCGATCGAAACAAGGCAAGATGGATATCCAGCTAGAAATCCGATCGAAACAAGGCAAGATAGATATCGAGGTAGAAGACGAGGCAACAGGGAACCAGGCGAGGCGGAGCCGATTACTGGCGTCGGATATCGTTTTTGACTAAGCGTGACGGAAGCGACCATGGGAAGAGGAAAGACGAGGTGTTACTCGCTTTCTCGTTCCTGTCATCGTTTGCTTGCAAAGTTTCGTAGCGAGAGGATATCTGGAAACGAGGCTGTTAAGACTTTTTTGAAAAGAAGGCGGCGCGACTCGCACAAACATAATTGTTAATAGCGGAGCTCTCGCGCGCCAAGCGCGCGCAGCGGAGCACCGTGGGTAAGAAAATGTTGTAAACTACCCATCCGAGAAAATTTGGTAATCACGTGACCGTACACCGACCAACCGCCCGACCGTCCGTCCGCACCACAGGCATACCAATGTAAAATAACTCATTCAACAGGTATGGCAACCCAAATGTAACTCGAGGTTATTTTGACGGGAAATCGCATAGCCACCCGCGCCTTGTGAAGCAGAGACAACTAAAGGGTCAATAAAGACGAAAACGGAAAGCGGAAATTGTTTCTGTATCTGTGTTTTCTAAAGTAGATTAATTGTTATGTCCACAAATTTTGAATATAGAGCGAGAGAAAGACAGAGGAAAAGAGAAAGTAGGCGGCAGGCCAGCGAAGCTCAACGAGATAAAGAGCGACAGAGATCTAGAGCGAGAGATACAAAACAAAGGAGACATTTTTTTGTTGGAAGAACAACATGACAATTTTGTAGCGGTGGTGAGAAAATGAGACATGCTAGCGGCCACCAATGCAAGGTGAAAGTGAGCGGCAGTGAAAAAAAGTGAACGAGAAAGCGTACGACATTTCAGTCCATAAAACGTGTAACTAAGAAGTTTCTGGAAGTTTCACGTTGCAGTCGTGCAAAACAATAGCAAAGAAATGTACAAAATAGTGTGCTGCACGTGCAAAGTTCCTTTTTTGCTAATTAGACCTATTGTTGTTTTTCACCGTTCTCCGGCGTTGCCTTCGCCACTTAGCATTACACGATTTTGTATTTTGTTTGAACAAAATATAAATATTATCGAGAGCTTCGCTTTTAGCCCTGGCTAAATCTATATATTACAAGTCGCGAAAGTTTTGATTCACGTGGTGCCCGGGGGGTAGTCGAGCAATATTTGGGTATAGGTGAACCGCTGAAGGTTTGAAACCTTGACCCTGTTTAGGACGAAAAATTCCTAAAATACATACCCTGTTTGGGACAACACGCTCAATAGTACCCTGTTTTTGCATGGCCCAACGCCCTGCTTATAATTAGAACAGACTCGCACAAATCATGCACACTGTTTAGGACAGACTTGCGCGAAATTGCATACCCTGTTTAGGACACTAACTCGTGCGAAATTATATACCCTGTTTAGGACAGAGAGGACGAAAACCGTACCCTGTCCAGCGGCACATCCCCCTATAGGCCATATAAGGGAGTAACCCCCCCGGGACGTGGTGCAACTCATACCAGTGGTACACGTTGTGAGAAAAGGTTTTCTATTTGATAAATGTGCGATTGGTTCATGTGATAAATTTCAGTGAAATAATATTAAGTATTCCTTACATAAGCTGCATCTAATGAGGGAAACTGGAGCCAAGTTGTTACAGAGATGGGGCTTTTTCAACTGGTACAACTCGTTCAAGTCAAGCAATTGGCGAAACCTCAATGACATCAACATAAAACTGCACACCACATATGGTTTATTACAACAAAGATTGCCAAAACATACTGTTTCTGGACGGATTAACAGAAATGTGGAGGTGGCTTCACTCAGTTCTTTTAGAAATTACGGCTCTTAATAGGGGCTAACATATAAAGATAAGTAGATAGAATTCAATATCATATGAACTAAAGAACTACATTCAACTTGTCATGAACTCACGGCTTTCCGTCTTGTTTCATCTTTTAAGATGATTTTAAAAGTGATTTTAAAATTGCTAAGCCTTGATCTCTGCTCGGTAGAAAAAACGTTATTCTTCAGACTCGGCCGGGTCGCCGATTGACCCTGAGATTTGGTGATTATAGAAAACTGAGTGAATCAAGTTCCAAAAGGGAGGGGGAGGGGGAAAAAGCAATCGAAAAAGAGTTTGGACCCCCCTTCCCCCTGGGTACAAAGATTGTTACCCGTTGCACGACTCGCACGGCTCCTGCTACCTTTGAACCCCCGTCTCTACACTACAAGATGCAGTTCCGCCAGTTGTAGGACTCGTTTTCTTTACAGTAGTTATAGGTGAATACAATATATTGTAATGTAGTTGGGAACTACTGTAGCACAAGATGTAACTGGAACCTTAATAAAAATAAGTGAATTGCAGTCAAAACATTAAAGCGATAGATGTATATGAAATAAATCATATGAGAACTGCGGAAATGAAATCAAATGAAGAATGATCCTCGCAGTCACGTGAAGGCAATTTATGCAATTGCGTGTTGGGCCTGCTTGCTTGTGGCATGATGCATTGCGGCCTCGCTTCAAACTCGCCTCTTGGCCAGCTCAACGAAATTCCGGGTACGTTACGCCGAGGTCTTTCCCCTTCCAGCAGTGTTGTCAAATGTAGCTGGTAAATATCCCAGGTTTAGTTAGAATACTCGATTTCTGTGCATCAGTAGAGAGGAGAAGTGTGACGTCACGTTAGCATGGTAGCAAAATTTCTGGATCTCAACAATAGGGAGTTTAAGCAATGACGACGGCGACGGCAACGAGAACAGTTAAAAAGAAATAAGTTTATATTAGCAAAACAACAACTTTGCACGTGCATCACGCTTTTTCGTACATTTCTTAGCCGCCGTTGCTCGAGTGCGACTTGAAACTTCCTAATTTCACACGCTTGCTTTATGGAGTAGGTAAACATAACACAAAATTTTCTTTTTCTTTTTCTAAACTTAAATACGGTCCTTTCGGATTCAACCCCAGAAAATTTCGCCATCATTTGACAAATTAAATGAAATTGAATAAGATCGATTAAGTTTGAAAAAGTGCGAATTCACTTTTTAAGTGAATTTTCGGTTTGTCGTCATCCAGAAATTTTGCTACCATGGCAACGTGACTTAACGACTTCTCCTTTCTATTAAAACGGATTTTACAGAATCTTGAATTCCCAAATCCAAGTTCTTGTCAAACTATGAAACTCGCTTTATGCATAGTTCTGCACAGACAATTTTCTTTGGTTTTGTGGTCGGCAATTTTCAACTGTGCAGTTAATCATGTTTTGTTTTACTGAATTTCTAATCAAAAACTAATAGCGACTGCCTTACCCAAATAACTCTCATTTTACAACATAAAGGACTTTTTATTCTTGAAACGACACCATTTGTTATTTTAACTGGAACGTTTTTGGAAACTTTTGTTTTAATGAGCTTTGTTTAGAGTCTCATCTGCCCGGGAGTAGATACTCCCTATATTTGCTTACAAGAAGGCTCCGCTCGAAAGGGGTATCTTTTTCAGGCTTCAGGTATATGAAAGAGAAGGGATTTTCTAGTTAAAGTATATAAAAGGTTAGACAAATCTGTCACTTCGGTCTGTGAAAAGGCTAAAAAAGGACAAACAGATGCATTTTACTACCCGTGAAAAAGTCGCCAAAACGTTTTGGTTTTGTGATTCATTCATATATTAAAGACTTTGCATTTACAACAGTTTAAAGGGATGCAGAGTTCTTAGCTAGGTCAGCTTTCCTCTCTTGGCTACGTATGTGAAAGGAGTTCCATTTGTCAATAGGAGGTAAACGAAAGGGTTAGCTTTTCTGTCAAAAATGGTGAAAAAGATCGAGTTAGACCTTTGGGCGAAGTCTCCCATTAAAAAATACTTGTTGATCCCCCGAGCTCATGCATCTGTGGCCTGCATGGGTACTTTCCTCGTGTAGTTTAATCAGTCCACGTGATACTCGTAATACACCCTATCTGGACGCATTGCGCACGACGTATTTGTTTGTCGATCCCGTTCTCAGTCCCTCAGTGAGGAAAAAAAAAGTTTTGTGCGGGCACACCGATAACCCATTACTGGCTAAGATACTGGAGACCAGGCTATGGGGGGTGAAAACCTAAAGGATTGGTTAGGTGAATTCTGTATTTGTCTGCCCAGCCCGGTGTTCCGGCTGGTGATCAGCCCTTAATCTCAACGTCCCCTCCCCTGCAAAAGCAACAGTTTAGCACATCATCACGTGACCAAACTAGTTCACCGCGGTAACAAAGCGGAGGCGATGGTGGTCAATGAGGTTCTTGTACTCGCTTTATTGAGCTTTTTGCCTCCCTTAAGGTAAGTATATTTTGTTTACTTAAAGAAATACATGGTAGAACTTATCTTTAGGCAATGGAATAGACTAATTCATGGTTATTCTCCGATCGCTTAGCTCGATCATGGTATCGATGCGTACCCGCGCCGTCGCAGCTTACATTTGCTTAGAAAATTTTGATTTTCAAGTTCTTTTTTTTACCTTATCATTTAAATGCAAGCTTTACACCAAGAAAATGTTTCTTTTTGCAGTTTGAGGCGCTATTTTACGCAAATAAACAAATGGGATGCAGTTTATATCGGGCCTCAGTTTGGTTTGAAAATAAGCGGGGGGGGGGGGGGGCTGGGTTGGTGGTGGACCCCTGAGTCTCTCCCCTGGATCTGCCACTGCTCTGGCTTTTTATTATGAACCGGTTTTCCTACTATGTATAACGATTTTGTTGGGAACAAAAATATGTGCATGAATACCTAATTAAAATCTTAAGGTAATTCCCTTGTTTTGCACCATGCACCCTCTACGGCGCATAATATTGCGACATCCAAGATGGTGGCGGTTCTTCCCGTTAGTGCGAAAAGAACAAACAAGGGCTGCTTTTACGGGCTAAAGCTTTTATTTACAATAATAATGCCCGCAGATCAGCTGACAGCTTCCTGGTCTGCTATCTAAAAACAAGAAAATGAAAAAAATATGCGTGATCCCAAAGTCTGCAGTGGTTTTCACTTAGTGAGGGGGGCATTGGGATTTTCGGTTTTGCGGTTTTGGCTATTTTTTAGATCGGTTTTTCGGTTTTTGTTGTAAAAGACTTCGGTTTTTCGGTTTTGATGGTCATTGCGG